ATTAAAGGTGTGTGTGTGCCACCATTTTTTGGCCTCTATGTCTATATCTAGTGGCTCTGTTCTGTGACCCCAGATAAGTTCATTAGGGTACACAATATATTGGAGGACACAATATCACCACAGAAATTCATTATAGAAGTCAAGTCCAGAGACTCAAATCAACACTACTCTCTCATAACTAGGGCACCAGGGACTCTTGGGGCCCCCCCTCAGGAGGAGGTGGCTTTGGTTCTGCGTGCCTGGAGAAGGACTGGCAGGGTGGCCCATGGCCTCTCCTTGGTGCCAGCCTGCAGCAGCGCTGTTGGGAAGCACTGCCACATCTGTTTCCGCCCCTGGGTAAGTGAACTCCCGGGAAGGCAAGCCCGGCCGCTGTGGGTGGCGTCTCCCAGCCCACCTTCACCCACGTGGACTCGCGCATAACTACGTGGCCTCAGTCGGTCCACCGAGGTCAGGTCTCTAGGGGAAAGGGCAGGGCCACTGCCAGCTGGTCAGTGACCAAATGTTTGCCTTGAGATAGGAGGGTCAGTGGGTCGCACTGGGCAATCTCAGCACCTGAGAGAGTTTGCCAAATTGTGAAGCAACTGGGTGGGAGAGTCAGTGCCTTGGGGACCATTCAGCCGTCTCCGCATGTGAGGATGTCGTGGGACAGCAGAGGCCGCTGCCTCAGAAGGGGGTCAATACTCTGGAAGCTGCTCAGTCTTCACTGTGGTTACATTACCAAATGCCTCTCTTCTCTTAAAACCACCCTGAGATCCTCAGCCCTACTCCATCCTTGCCTTCCACATGCAGAAACCCACATGGCTTAAATCTGTTCCATCTTGTCTTGAGGAACCACCCTAAACCCAAACCTGCCTTCCACAGTTCAGCAGGGAGAAAAAAATCACTCCTACTTCCCCAGGGTACCCTAAAGCCTAGAAAATCCCACAAGGGTGGCCCATGGCCAGGGAGTAAGTGGCAGATTGGTAAGGGGCTTTGGTGAAGCATTCATACGGGACAAGTTTCTTCTCTGCTTCCAACAATGCCATTTTGGGGATTTGGGTACATGGGACAAAAGCATGAGCCGTTCTGAAGTAGCTGCTCTTGCTCAGCAGCCCCGGGACACATCCCATCACAAATGTGAGAGACCCGCCCTTCACTCTACACTTCCAGAGGAGAGACAGAAGGGGTGGGAATCCTGAGGAATGTTCAAGAGTTTTTTTCTACTTGATTTTAGAACAAATAGCTGACTTGAAAACCAAAGCTCTCAGACTCTTTGGTAACCCCCACCCCACCCCCATCTCTATGCAGGGAATGTGGCCTGCAGAGGCCAACTCTCCAGCTCTGCCACCTCCGCTTATCCCCAAGACCCAAGGACTGCTTCTCTCCAGGAAAGGGCACTAGACCCAGAGACCAACAGTGGCAACTCCACCCACCTTTACGACCTGCCTGGGTCACATTTCCTGTGACTGCCTTCCACCATATCCCTCCTCACCACCTTCAGGCAGGGATTCTAGATTCACATCACCAACACCACCAAGAACTGTTGCTTAAGGAAAAGTTCTGAACACCTCCCCAAGACTCCTGAAGATTGTCTATGAGAATCTTCTAGCTCAACAGAAGGTCTGCTCCTGGGCTTAGAAACCTCACTTAGCTCAGCCTCAGCTGGGACTACTTCTGAGACCCCAGTGAAACCTCAACACTGAATTGCCCAAGACTCAAACCTAAGCCTCAACTGGTCAAACACCCACCCAACAAAGCAGACACAAGATTTCCACACCCAAAACCACTACCAACAACGTAAGTACAGATGCCTAGGTCCCATGGTCTTGCGGGCCGCAAGAATATATCATAGAGATTCAGCTGCGTATTAAAGCTGAACTTTGACCAGCCAAGGGTCTGTCAAAAGGCAAAGCCATTTATTATGAATATTTGGTGTTACCCAGCCTTTAATATTTCAGCTGTCTTCTGCTATGAAATCCTTGTGTGCCCAAACCTATTGGTAAACAGTTCAGCTCTCCAGACCTGCTGAACCTACTAAGTTACTAACTGCCCTGCTGAACTTAGGAGACAAACTGGAGGGAGACGCCTAGCTTTGTTTCCTGTGCTAGGAAGCTCAGACCATCCCCTGGCCTTGAGGAGGCCTAGTGGTTCTCCAGAGCACTTTGAGAACAAAAGAAGTTTTTACATATCAAGGTGAGAGATAAAACAACATTCCTGAGGAGCCAGGGAACCACATGCCCAGGGAAAGAAAAGGCAGGTATTTTCTGTAGAATAGGACTGGAGAAGAGAAAAGAGAACTAGATGGGTAAGAACTTGAGAGAAACAAACTGAGATGGGGAAGAACTAGATTGAAGGGCTAGAAGAGAGGACTAGAGGAATGAGATGGAAGATGAGGAAGAGCCAGATGGGGAAGAACAAGATGAAAGAGAAGGAGATGAGAGAGGAG